TGCATCCCGCCTGATTAAGGCTTTCATCCATTACCCTGTTTCATGAGGTCTGCTCAGTTGGTGAGGTCTGTATGCAGTCTGGTTCAGCCTTCTTTCTTGTTGCTGTTTTAGGTTTAGTTGTATTAATTAACTATATTTTTGTACTATTTGTGGTTTGGGGAGGAGTTCTCCATCTCACCTTTAACACCGCCATCTTGAATCTCCTATTGGATTTCTTTTCTTTTTATGGCAATGATATTCCACTGTGTATATGTACCACATCTTCTTTATCTATTCATCTACTGATGGACACTTAGGTTGCTTCCACATATTGGCTATTGTAAATGATGCAGTGATAAACATAGGGGTGCATATGTCTTTTCAAATTAGGGATTTTGTTTACATCAGGTAAATTTCTAGAAGTGGAATTACTGGATTGAATGGTATTTCTCTTTTAAGTTTTTTGAGGAACCTCCATCCTGCTTTTCACAGCAGGTACACCATTTCACATTGGCAGCAACAGTGTTAGGAAGGTTCCCTTTTCTCCTCATCCTTTCCAACACTTGTTAATTCTTGTTGAGAATATAAAAAAGGCTTTTTACTGAAAGTAAAGTAATTCATCATCTATCAGATTCCTGATTTGGAGGAGGAGCTTGGGATGAGGTTGAAGAGAAATTTCTTGAGAGAATCCTTTTACCGTGAGTCAACATAACTCATTGGTGAGCAAAATAAAAAGCCAGCTCTTCCATCCTAAGGATAACCTAGAAACAGACTTGCTTGCAAAAGCTGGGGAAATAATGGCATCATTCTCCCCACATTGTCTGATCGATTTAGTTTCACTTAAACTCATGATAAAGGTCACCAGATGAGGTAAGAAAAAATAAGCATTAGATAAAGAGGGAAATGGTTATATGAGAGGTATGTTTTTAAGGAAAGCTGAGTTACCAGAATATTTGTGTTCAGCCATAGGCTATGTCTGCACTATAAAGTATCTTTCGGATAAGCTTTTAAAAGCCACGTAATTGGCATTCAGCTTAAAATTAGATGCTGCCTAAGTATAGCACAGAGAAGACAAGTAGTGACTCTATAGAATCTTGCTACACTGATGGGCTGTGACTGTAATGTGGTATGTGGTGGGGACTTGATAATGGGGGGGAATCTAGTAACCCCAGTGTTGCTCATGTGATTTTTTATTAATGATACCAAAATAAATTTTTAAAAATTAGATGCTGCCTAATGCCCCAGACCAGGATAGCAGTGCACCTCATTAAATTACATGGACCTCCTGTAAATCTATTCATTAGAGCATGGAATTCAATAAGAATCAGTTGGGTCTTGGATCCCATCCAGTGCATTATAGTTTTTGAAGGCTAAACGAGATTTCAGTTTATGGTGGTTCTATGTTGAAAGTTTAAGCAAAGTTTCAGAGTAGGTTTTTTTCATTTTTTTAAAATACCTTTTTAATATAAATGATACAGACTCATAAAATTTTCATATAATATGTATGTATATTTATATACACCACTGATATTTTGATAAAAATACTTTCAAACATCTTTCCAGGGGTGTGTACAGTACCTGTATAAATTTTTGTCACCTTAAAGAGAAGGAGTTATAGTGATGCTTTCAGGGTAAGAGGAAGCCCCCTTCACTTTCAATATGAATAATCAGTGCATAGAAGAAAATTAACTTCAGCATCTAAACAACAAAACGCTACAAACACCTGTGTTTAATTAAACACTACTGAAGATGATCTTTTAACTATCAGGAAAAATGAAGTAATTCTGAAATACAGCATGGGTCCTGAGTTGACCTGAATGATATGTGGGGGTATAAAGACTGTGTCAGCCAGATACCCGCATTAAACACTGTGGCAACCGGGGAAGTCTAAGAAAAGGACTAAAACAAAACATCTTTAAGGTCGACCTTTCCAAAATCTCAGGTAAATTAGAAACAGATGTGTGTTCACACTTGTTCAGCCATTATGGATGGCCAGTTAGATGGGGGGGAAGCAGCATTTTCATCGCTTGGGTGAAATGCATTGCTCTTTTTAAAAGTCTCCGCAGTATGCTGTGTATGTGTGTTTTGGTTAAATATGTGTGCAGTAATCGGTTCAGTGATGCCGCTGTGTGATTGAACTTCTGGGTAGATCATAATGGATCCTTTTTTAACCCATATAATATTCAAGGGTAATTATTTAGGATGTCTTTAATTTCCCCTAATTAGTTGACCAATAGTTGGTGTACTGCCTTAAATTTTCAGAAAGCAAGTCTCTGCCATTGGCAGTGTCTGGAAACTGTAGGGATTTCTGCCAAAGTTCTTGTGATCTAATCCTCTCTTGAGAGCACGAAGCTAAAGCATGTATTGAAATGACTGAGTCAACTGCTCAAGGGATATACTGGCTGCACCCCTGCTCACTTTTCTAGGATGAAAAATCTCCTTGGTGACCTGAAGCAGCTTCTCCTTCCACCTAGAAATACATGTGTTAACTATACATAGAAAGCACATACACACATATATATAAACACATGTATAAATGTATATAAGCTATATTTAAACATTATAGATATATACATAAGCTATATCTAAATGCTTGTCTTAACATTATTATATATTCCAGAATTATGCCTAATTTCAGCAAAAAATTGTTTAAAATTTTATGAGAAAATAGTTTTGCCCATTCTACTGATTGCTGTTAAAAATTGTTAACTTCTCTAACTTTAGGGAAGAAAAAGAAAGCACCTACTATTTATTGAATGGTTAATATGTGCCTGGAATTTTTGCTTGTTCAGTGTTACTCCCATTTTATAGATGAGGATCTTAAAACAATCAAGTGAAATCACATAGCTCTTAGGTAGCAAGCACAGTTAATCTTTGAACCAGATCTGCCTGATTCCAAAGGCCTGTCTATCAGGGTATCATGCTATAGAATTAGCTGTAGAATGCTAGGCTTATAAAAGACTATAAGCAATATTAAGTTAAAAAAGCAAGGTACAGAACAGTAAGAATAGTATAATCCCACTGTGTGAAATGTGTATATGCCTATACAATTGGCCCTTGAACAATGCAGGGGTTGGGGCACTGACACCGCCATGCCCCAGTCAAAAATAAACATAAAGCTTTTGACTGCCCCAAAGCTTAGCTGCTAATAGCCTACAGTTACCCAGAAGCCTTACTTATAACATAAACAGTCGATTAACACTTATTTTATATATGTATTATGTATTCTTACAATATAGTAAGCTAGAGAAAAGAAAATGTTATTAAGAAAATCATAAGGGAGAGAAAATGCATTTATAGTTACTGTGTTTACTGAAAAAATCTGCATGTAAGTGGACCTACAGAGTTCAAACCTCTGATTGTTCAAGGGTCAACTATACACACACATGTGTGTCTATTTTTACATATGCTTAGCATAGTTAGTGTATCCCTGGATGACTGTGCAATGATTACCTCCAGGGATGGGAACCGGGCTGCTACAAATCTAGACTTTTTATTATAAAATCTTCCATACTTTTTGAATTTTGTTTCATATGCATGTATTAACTATTCAAAAAAGAAACCATTTTAAAGACTGTTATTAACTATGCTTTTAGAAACATCTGATTATTTTTCAGATTTAGTCATCTTTGTTAGTAGTTTCATACGCTTGTAAAGCTTCTAATGCTATAGCATATAAATAGTAGCTGTTATAATATTGATAAGCAATGATAATGATCATATCTTTCTAGTTTTTCAATTTCCATGATGCTACTCTGATGACCTACCACATTGAAATTTGAGCGGGAAGCAAATTACTGATATAACATATATTGAAGTTAGCAGAGATAATGGCGACTGATTAAGCTACAGCCAACTGTTAACATTTTTTATACTATTTCAGATTTTACTAGTCTTCGGTTTACCTAGTGTTTGAAACAAGAACACCATACCTCAGATGACAGTAGCTTCTGGTCTTGACTGAGGTAAAAGAAGTATTTTGAGTCTTAAAATTGAACTTAAAATGAAAAAAGTTTCCTGTCTATTAGAAACTATATTTTAATTTGGGGCTACTACTGATGGAAATACCTTATCTTGAATACAGTTTTTTTGTACTTGTTTTAAAAACCGTAATGGTCTGTTTACATAGCTGTCTCCTTTACTGGACTGAGCATTCCTTGACAGCAGGGTCCATGCCTTATTTGCTCTTGTCTTCTCAATGAGTAACCTAATGCCTGACACTTGGTAGGTAGCTAAAAATGTTGATTGAGTTGAATCGAACTGAACTACAGATACTTAGCTTCATCCAGAGAAGAGAGAGAGAGATAATATCCATGTTGGGATGTTGGAAGGGTTCTTGTGTGGAAGAGATTAAGTTTGCTCTATATGGCTTCAGTAAGTAGACAGTAAACCAATGGGTGGAGGTTTCAAGAAGTTTCTAAATTTTGAGCTGCCTAAAGCTAGGTGGTGCTGTCTCAGGAGGTACCGAATCTGTCACCAGGAGATTCATTCATGATAGGTCAACTACCAAGATAATTCAAGTATTTAATTATTTGTTCCTTCTCTTCTTTACTCAAACATTTGTTTAGTGGGCACTGTTCTATATGTTGAATACCAAGATTGAATATAAACTATAATCCACACCTTTGGGTGTGAACAGAGTATTGGCACAGGATACAACCAGGGTGCTAAATGATCATTACAGAGGTGTAATGGTTATACCCTGGGAAGAGTGGACAGAAAAGGTTCAGGAATCAAGTTGTGTAGAGTTGACAAGGCAGCCAAAGGAAGAAAGGAATCCTAAGCAGAAGAAGGATCGATGTATGCAAAGGTTCAGAAGTTAGAGAGTTTTCAAAATAGTGGTATTTCATTTAGATTATATGCCTTTAAAGGACCTTCCAGTCCTAAGATTCTGTGTACTGGGTCTTTAACTTAGTGCATTTTTCATTTCATGTCCAATATTACATGTGTGTGTGTATTTCAGTTGTCATTTTTCACAGGAAGCAAAAATACTGACCTTTTTCTTTGATTTTTGTTCACAGTCAAGTTCATCCGAGAAGTAACGCCATATATCAAGAAGCCATCCTTAGTATCAGATCTGCCGTGGGAAGGTGCAGCTCCCCAGTCACCAAGCTTTAGTGGCAGTGAAGACTCTGGTTCTCCAAAACACCAGAACAGCACCAAGGACAGAAAGGTCATCCCTCTCAAAATGTGCTTTGCTGCTAGAAACCTAAGCATGCCGGATCTGGAAAACAGGTGAGCTGTACCTAAGGAGAACATCATACAGTTTTGTAAATTTAAGGACATGTTATAATATTACTTATGCATATTATTATGCAATAATATGACTATTGACTGAACTATATAAAGGCAAATATCAGTCTAAGAGTAATTTTTGGAATTCCATATTTAAATTGTTTTGCACATATTTGTACATGTACATATAAAGAAAAATTTTGGACAAAATGGTGATTTCTCCTGGGGAATGACATGGGATTGGAAGGTAAATGGAAAAAAGGGCTTCTTCTCTTCATTTTATACCTTTCTGGAGTTTTATTATTTTCTTTAGTATGAACATTACTTTATAGTTGAAAAAAAAACTTTAAAGAAATTTTTGTCTCCTTACATGGAAATTCCTTATATTGTGGATAGTGTAAAAGTCAGAGATCTGCATTACACATCTGGCTCCATCAGCTAGCAGTGTGACCCTGGGAAGTCAATTTCTCTTGACCTTAGTTTTGTCATTTGTAAAATGAGAAAGATGGATCAGGTAATTTCTAGTGTCCTTCCTAGTTCTGTATCCAGTTGGGTTCTATGGTTTTGTCTTCATTAACTCCATGAGGTAATATTGGTAAATCTAGTGTTAAGTTAGAGACAGGGTGGGAAAAAAGAGATAAACTTGTCTAATGACATAGTTAAAGACAGGCTTTTTGTAATGTGCTTTTTCTTTTATGGCCTCCTCTGATCTGAAGGCACAGCCTAGTGCCTGCTCAGGATGGGGTAGATCACTGAAGACAGCAAGAAGCTGAGTGGTCTTCTTGGGCATTAGGCCATAGGGACATTAAAGCTCCTGCTCTTTAATGTAAAGCTGAACTCTGCAACACACATACCTTTATTTGAGTCCCAAGTGGGAGTGGGTCACCTGCTCAAAGTAAGGCTCTGGAGCAAGTTCTTTCACCTCCGTAAACCACCATATCCTTACCTTAAAAAAAAAAAAAGGACTCAGTGTGTCAGATCAAAAGAGATAATACATATGAAACCTTTTGTATAAAGCCAAGCACATAGTAGGTTCTCAAGAAAGAGAAGCTTAAAGAAACCCATAATTATACATATCTATCAAAATTATACATAACTTCAGTTAAACCCACAGGAATGTAAACATCTATCCTATTTGTCTTGGTAGAAAAAATTTTCAAAACCATTGACTAATAGAAGTTAGGATGATTGCCTTTGTAACCTTGGCCAAGCTATTAGTTTTCCATAAGCTTCAGTTTCCTCCTGTATAAAATGAAAAGTCATATGAGGATTAAATAAAGAATGATTGTAAGATTGGCATACTAAGCTCTCAATATATTAAATAAATCCCTTAATTTCTCTGTCTGTTTTCTGCTGTGAAGTGGACATCATAATGCCTGCTCTACTATACTCTTTAGAACTTCATAATACCTATAAAATCACTTAGAGCTCTTTGATCTTTAAATTTATCTCAGCTCTGTTAAAGGAAATGTCATTATAAGTTAACACAATTGCAACATTTAAAGCCAGGAGAAAAACCATTCATGTATGAACAGCAAAAATAGGTTTCATCAGGACATCTGTCCCCCAAACATTTATCAATTACAGCATCATGTAATATTTCTATTTGAAAATCTTAATCTTCCACATAGTCTCTTGTAAAACTCTGAGCAAGAAGGCTTAGATGTTCCATAATCTGGAAAATACTTATGAATCTGGTTTTGGAGCCCTGCGTAGGCATGTAGTTTCCCATCATTCTTCTTTTTTTCCTAACATTATGAAAACATTCAAACATATAGCAAAGTCAAAAGAATTTTGTAGTCCACACTCATTTTCCCACCACGTAGATTCTACCACTAACATTTTAGTATACTTGCTTTATCACAGAGTGATCCATCTACCCATCTGTCAGTACATCTTAATTTTTTCTGATGCATTTCAAAGTGAATTGCAGACATTAATGTACTTCCCTCTAAATACTTAAGAATGCATATAAATAGAGTTCAATATTTCATTGTATTTTTTTCTTATGAGGTAATTTTAGCATACAATAAAATGCACAAATCATAAGTTTTCACAAATGCATGCAATTATGTAACTTAAACATATCAAGATACAGGGCATTCCCACCACCCTGGGAAGTTTTCTTCTACCCCTTCCCAGTCAATTCCTTCTCTCATCTTCCAAGGCTACTACTGTTCTGATTTTCTAGTACAGATTGGTTTTACCTATTTTAAAATTTCATATAAATATAATTATACATATGTGCTCTTTTGTAATAAAATTCTTTTACTCAGCATAGGGTATTTGAGATTCATCCACCTTGTTGCATATATCAGTATTTCTTTTTTGTTGCTGAGTAGTATTGTGTAATACGAATATATCACAGTTTCTTTATCCATTTTCCTATTGCTAGATGCCTGAGTTATTTCCAGTTTGGAGCTAATATTAATAGAGATACTATGAATATTTTTGTATGATTCTTTTTGAGAACATACATTTTGATTCTTAGGAGTGGAATTGCTGCGTCAAAGGGTAGGTGTATATTCAGTTTTTTAAAAACTGCCAGACTTTTCCAAAGGGTTGTCCCATTTTACATTCCCACAGCAATGTATGAGAGTTTCTGTTGTTCCACATTCTCACCAACATTTCTGGTGTCAGTGTTTTTAATATTAACTATTCTAAGGCTTAAAACAAAAGCTTATGTGACATGATAGAGAAACATCCTTTTTCTCTGTTTTACTACTTTGTTTAGTTTCAATGTGTGGAGCTGAAAAGAAGTGCTGACCATCAGAATGATTTAGTAAGGAGATGGAAGAGAAAGTGTTTTTCTCTTCCTCTACCTTGAGTTCGTGAGACTTCATTAGATGCTTTTGATAGTTATAAGCAGTTTGTTCTGGAAAGTGAAAACTAAATAAATAATGATGAAGCCCAGGGAGAGAACATGAGCCGATTCCTTAGCAAACAGCACTGTGGGTTGGGTGGAATTTAGCAATGGCAAACAGTTCCTAAACACTGCTTTTTAGAAATGTAAATCTGTTATCCTTGAGCTGGTTCACAATGTCTTAGTCATCTTCACATTGGCTATTTTCCACGTAAAAGGTAAATTTTGGCTTTGTGACATACAAATCAATATGGTTATTGCTAAACTGAACATATAAGTTATGTCAAAGGCTTTACTAACCTGAAGAAATAAGCAGGCGAGACTAGGGGATCATGTGAATGTATGTGTGTGTGTATTCCTAAACACTGATATGACTCAGTTGATCAAAATGTAATTACGTTTCTCAGGAAATCCTCTGTGGTTTGACTGGAGGCCAAAAGTCTTCACACTGTAGTTGCCTCCTTCTCTCTTCTGTAGGCCCAAACAATTACTGGCAAACTGCCTCCAACTTTTTATTAGCAGTTTTCATTTGAATTTTTCTTTTAAAACAGCAGGTGACTTTAGGAAATATTTTATCCCTTTTATCAGCTCTAGGGGCTATTTCTTCAAAGACAGACTCTTCTGGATCCTGGAATCATCAGTTCTATTTTGGAGTTTCTGTTCTCTTTCTTCTAATCTAATTTTCTATTTCACAATCCCTTCTTAAGAAACACTATAAAATTTATTTTTTCATGAAAAATTGGTGATCCTGCCCTGGGAACAAATTTTCTCCCTGTTTTCATCTTTTTCCAACCTAGTGGTCCCAGTATCTTCTCCTATTTAATCAGGTTTAGTTTTATTTTATAACAAACTTATTTTCCATTCTTCTAGTTATTAATAACTAAGGTCTTTGATATCAGAATTTTCAAAGTTTAGACTGTGTCAAAGGAGATGTGTCTGAGAGACTGTCCCAAGAACTGTATGAGGTATAAAGGCCTTTACAGAAGTTGAATGTTTTGGGCCTACTGAAGGATGAATTTGATTCCTATCTTTAGTGCTAAGTAGGTCAGTAGGAGGAGTAAAAGAAATTTCTCATCATGGTTTTATGACTGAACTTTTAGCATGTGTTTAAAGGATATTAAGCTGATTACACTGCCAGAGAACCAGGTCAAAATAAGTAGCCCTACAGAAAAAGACCAGCCTGATACAGGGTCTAAAGTAAGCATATAACCAGTTTGGTGAGCTGGGGATAGATATGAATCTTCTGTAAGGTTGAGGGTGGGCCACCGGCTATGGCTGCTGAAACAGACTTTCAGCCAGTCTCTATTTTAACTGCTTTACTGCCACTTCCAGAGGTAACTGTTGCCTCCAGTTCCCCAACATTTTGGGGATTGACTTGACTCTCCCTATTTTTCTTAGGTCTGCTAAGTCATTTAACTCCTGTCTGTTTGCCAGCTTCCAAACTTTTGTTGTAGTGCTTCTCCAATCTTCCCGAGCTTGTAGGATTATGCTTTTAAAAAATCCCCTTTGAAGTTCTTAGATATGGTACTAATATAAAAGAAAAAACTGGTAGTTGAATTTCATTAGAATTAAAGACTTCTACTCTATAAAAGACACTGTGTATTAGGGTTCTCCAGAGACACAGAGCTAACAGGATGGATGGATAGGTGGATGGACGGATGGATGGATGGATTAGTTATTCAAGTTGGCTCATGCAGTTATGGAGGCCAAGAAGTCCCATGACCTGCTGTCTGCAAGCTGGAAAACCAGGAAAGCCAGCAGTATAATATAGTCTGAGTTCAAAGGCCTAAGAACCAGGGGGACCAGTGTGTGAAGGCAGGAGAAAACAGATGTCACAACTCCAGCAGAAAGCAACTTCAACCTTCCTCTGCCTTTTTGTTCTACTCATGCTCTTAGTGGATTGGATGACACCTGCCCACATTGGCAAGGGCCATCTTCTAAGGCTAATCTCTTCCAAAAACAACCTCACAGACACATCCAGAAATAATGTTTTACCAACTATTTGGTCATCCCTTGGCCCAGTCAAGGTGACACATAAAATTAAGTATCACACGCTGTTAAGAGAATGAAAAGACAAGTCACAGACTGGGAGAAAATCTTTGTAAAAATACTTCTCAAATAAAGGACTAGTATCCAAAATAGATAAAGAATTCTTAAAACTCAACAATAAGAAAACAACCCAATTGAAAAATGGACAACAGATCTGAACAGACACCACACCAAAGAAGAAATATAGATGAATTAGCATATGAAAGGTGCTCAACATTATATATCATTAGGGAGTTGCAAACTAAAACAATGAGATACCACTATATACATATTGGAATGGCCAAAATCTAAAACACTGACCCCACCAAATTCTGATGAGGATGTAGAGAAACAGGAACTCTCATTCTTTGCTGGTGGGAGCAAAATGGTACAGCTCCTTTGGAAGACAGTTGACAGTTTCTTACAAAGCTAAACATAGTCTTACCATATGACCCAGCAATCATGCTCCTTGGTATTTACCCAAAGGAGTTGAAAACATGTCCACGCAAACACCTGCACACAAATGTTTTCAGCATCTTTATCCATAATTGCCAAAACTTGAAAGCAACCAAGAAGTCCTTCAATAGGTGATGGATAAACAAACTGTACTCTACCCAAATGATGGACTTTTATTCAGTGATAAAAAGAAATGAACTCCCAGGCCAAGAAAGACATGGAGGAACTTTAAAAGGCATATTACTAAATGAAAGGAGCCAATCTAAAAAGACTACCTATTGTATGATTCCATGGACACAGTAAAAAATAAGTGTCTATTGATATTTTTAAATCTGCTTCAACTGTTATTTTTAGTGGGATTTCAGGAAGAAACAGGATAGATGTGTGTGCTCAATTGCCATCTTATATAGGATGTTCTAGAAATACCTTTTCTTTTTAAGATTAATATAAGTAATAAAGAAAATATAAATTAGCTTGCTTTGGGTTTATTTGACTTTTAAAATTCATCTTTGCAAAAACTGACCAAAGCACAAAACAGTACCCAATAAATCATTTTATAAGGAATTTGGTCAGTGTACTTCTAAAAATGTTTTATTCCTAAAGGTTACTTTTGAAGTAAGATTGATCTCATTTGAGCATTAACAGTAACAGTCACAGAGTTGAAGATCTCGTAACTATTTTTCTGCTATGGCTTAGTGGATGATTTGATCTATATAATGTTACCCAGACACTAAAAAAACAGTTCCAAAATTCAGAGTCATATTCTTCAGCTATTTTCTCTTTTCTTTATTTCACACAGTGGAAATTTCAGCTCACTACTTGGCAGTAGGTTTTGTTTACCTAGGGACACCTTAGGAGATTCAACAAGCATGCTTTCCATTTCTTTGACATGGAAATTAAGGCAAGTGAAGTGTTCTGCTATACACTGTACAATGGATTTCCTCATCTTACATGACATTAACACACTGAAATAACAGGCCAAGCAGTTAGTCTTTCTGATAATTACCTTTTCATATGTGGTTTTCTGTGGAATTGAACCCTTAGGATTGAGAGGAAGTATCTCTAGGAATGTAAAATTTAAAACAGATTTCTAGCAATATTTGTTAAGCCCTGGCAGGTTTGATGACTTCTGATCTAGCTCACTGTTTCATTTTGTTTTTTTCTTTTTCCACACAGATTGATAGAGCTACATTCTCCCGATAGCAGGAACACGTTGATTCTACGCTGCAAGGATACAGCCACGGCGCACTCCTGGTTCGTAGCTATCCACACCAACATAATGGCTCTCCTCCCACAGGTGTTGGCTGAACTCAATGCCATGCTTGGTGCAACCAGTACAGCAGGAGGCAGCAAGGAGGTCAAGCACATTGCCTGGCTGGCGGAACAGGTAGGCCAGGAGGCAGGGTCTCACCAAGTCACCATTCAAAGCCAGAATGGTTCCCCCATTTCATATATTAGTAATATTTATCATGTAATCAGGTCCTGGATATCTAGCTTGCAGACCTTTTGTCAGTCTTGTTTCTCCTTCCTACCATTTCATTATCTGTGGCTAATTATCATCTCTACCAGAAGAATTGACTGTCAGGATATTCATCACCACAACATAACTGAAAAGAGGTTTTTATTACCACCCTATCCTTAATGACATAGGATAATTTTCATGATTTTAGAACAGGATTAGCAAGCTTCCTGCAAAGGGCCAGGCAGTGTCACAACTACTTGACTCTGCCCTTGTAGGGAAAAACGGTCACAGACGATATGAAAATGAATAGGTGTGGCTGTATTTCAGTAAAGCTTTAGTTACAAAAACAGGTGGTGGAGTGCATTTGGCTCACAGGTCATAGTTTGCCAACTCCTGTCCTAGTTCATTGACAGCATTTCAGAGGCAGCAGGCTTACTCTCCTGCACTGGGAAAAGTATACAGTATGCACAGCATTTCACAAGCCACTAGACAAATGTATAATTGTCTTCCACAGCTGAAAAATAAAAAGAGAAACAAAGAAAACTTAAGTGGATATTGGGTGAAGGGAAAGGAAAAACTTAATCCAAGTTATTTTAGATCCCAAATTTGACAAAAGGGAAAAACTAAAAATCGTGTGACAATCTGGTATATCCTTTTTCCTTCTGGTCCTTCACTGTCAGCTGGGCCAGAGTAAGCTAGAAAAAAGAAGACAGGACTAGGGGTTCAGAGATGAGTGTTCAGGTGCTAGCTCTGTTCACTGGTTTTAAGTTTTTTCTGTTTTTTTTTTTTGGTATCATTAATCTACAGTTACATGTGCAATATTGTTTACTAGACTCCCCACATCATCAAGTCCCCCCGCCCACATACCCCATTACAGTCACTGTCCATCAGTGTGGTAAGATGCTATGGAATCACTACTTGTCTTCTCTGTGTTGCACAGCCCTCCCCGTGCCCCCATCCCTACATTATGGTTTTAGGTTTTTTAAAGTTCTTTCATGTCTTTAAATCCAAGTTCCCTCATGTGTGAGCAAGGGAGCAGAGATGACATCAGTATCAGCCCAGGGAGGTTTTGTTCTTTTGTTTTTGTCTTGTTTTAGTTTCCCAAGTCTGGCCCCTCACATTGTACCTCAATAGAGTTCTGAGTTGGTGGATCTATGGTAGGGCCTGGCCATCTCGTTCAGTGGCTTCCTGGGCCGTTGTGATGTGGACCAGTTTTAGACTCCACTAAGCAATTTTTTTTCCTGTTTGTTAAATTTTATGAACATTTCAAATAATAATTCTAATAAATTAGAACACAGAGTTAGGACTGTGATAATTTTTAGGAAGCATAATTAGAATAAGCAGAGAAAAGACAAATGAAAATTGTGGTATAAATACTTATGATTTTGATAGTTTTAGTATTTTTGTTGTGTTTATCATTGTTTCTGTATTTTTATATGCTGGTTGAAAAACTCAGTGGAGTGGTAATTGTTCTGTGCTTTCAGCAATGTTATAAATCTTAATGATTTTAAAAAGGTAACACATTCACATGGTTCAGTGGTCCAAATAAAAAATTAGCAGGTGAAAAGTCTTACTCTCCTTCCTGTGCCCCATCCACTTAATTCCCACTTCCTTTTCCCCAGAGAGAGTTCACTTTCATTCCTTTCTAGTGAATCTTTTGAGAGTTTCTATATGCAAATAAAAAATGGAAACATATTCTTCTTTTTCTGTTTTATAAAAGAAGATAGCATACTATTCACACTCCTTTTATACCTTGCTCTTTTTTTTCTCACTAAACAATATATCCTGGAGATCTTTCCATATCAATGCACAGAGAGCAGTCTTTTTTACAACTTTACAGTTTTCCACTGTGTGGCTGTAGTTAATAAGCACTCCTCCCAGTTTTGTTATCTTTTGCCATTACAAATGATGCTATAATGCATAAGCTTATAGTTTGTCCTTTCACACATGTATTATCCAAACTCTGGTTCCTGAGTTTAGATCAGATAACAAGGGAACCCACAGTATCTGAATTTACTTGGTTCTTAAGTTTCTGGTCGTGAGTAGTAAAACATTGGTCCAAGAAGGATTCATCCAAAAATTTACATCACTCCCTAAGTTTGGAGATTGAGAATTCAGAGAGTGAAGGATATTTCTGTAGCATAAATTCCCAGAAATGCAGGGTCAGAGGGTTATTAATTATCTATTGCTCTATAACAAATTACCCTGAGACTTAGTGACTTTAAAACAAGTAGTTACTTCACATCATTTCTAAGGATCAGGAATCTGGTAGTGGCTTATCTGGGTGGTTCTGGCCCAAGATCCCTCATGAAGTTGTAATCAAGCTGTCAGCCAGGGTGGCAGTTATCTGGGGCTTGATGGGGGTTGGCAGGTCTACTTATAACATGGTCGATTTACATGGCTGTTGGCAAGAGTCCTCGGTTACTTACCTTGCAGGCCTTTCCACGGGGCTGCCGGAGTGTCCTCGAGATGTGGCTTCTGGTTTTTGCCAGTGTGAGTGATCTGAGAAGAAAACAGGATGGAAGCCACAGTGCCTTTTGGATGTAGTCACTTCTGCTCTATTCTTTTCATTAGAAGCGGGTTACTAAGTCCAGTCTACACCCAATGGCTCAATCTCTTAAAGGGAAGCGTAGTGAAGAATTTAGGGACATATTATTAAATTACTACAAAGAGCTTATGCATTTGAAATTTTGATAAATTGTGCCAAATTGCCTTCCATCAGGGTTAAACTAATTTAGATTCCCACCAGCAGTGTATGGGAGTTGCCAGACTTTAAAAATGAACTTAATTTGGTTTATGCTACATACAGACAAGGAGAAAGAAGGAAAATGAAACCACCAATTCATCACAATCTGCCTTTTATGGACTGTATTTATATGTGTGTTTCCTCCACTCAGTTGTAAGAAAAGAGCACATTTTTTCAAAACCTTACTGTCCCCAGAGCACTTATCCTAATGCTTTGTATGTAGTAGATACTCAGTAATTTTCTTTGTCTACATATGTACATACAAAAAGCAAGGAAACACGTAACTAATTATAAAATACTGTCCAAGAACACAAGCTCAGATCTGGGAAATAATACTAAGTAGAAAAGTTTCATAATACTACTTTAAAAATAGTACCACTGAATTTATTCAAAGGATCTTTCTAAAATACTCTTGATTTTTACTTTTTTAAAATAGTTGTGTGGGTTACCCAAATCAAATGTCATTTCTCTGAGGTATTATAATAAGCTTACGTATCTGATAAAGGTTGAACCGAGTAAATGCTAAAGCCTTATCTCACTATGATTCTTTAATTTTATGAGTTTGAAAATGCTCATGATAATTTTAGATTATGTAATCTGTTTAATATAGGTAAGCATTTTTTTTTTGGCAAGAGGTATATTTCCTGAAAAGCATGCATATACATGAAACTTTCAGATAGAAAGGATGTCATTTGGGGCAGATAAGGAAGGATCATTTATTTAACTTTAAATGATCACTCCTTAATATATCTTTTCTGTTATTTCACATTGTCATAAATTGAGTTTGCTTTAAACAGGGAAAACCTATACTTCAGATATTTGGTAAGTAGTAGATGAACCTGCCCTATGCATTGGGACTTCTATCTCTTCGTTGATACTGATTTTTGTATGACTGATACTTTATCTTTTAGTTGGTTATATTCCTAAAAGGGAATTTTCTTTAAGTCCACCAAATGGGGAACACATTACCTATAAAACCAGTAGTTTTAAGCATTTGATTATCTATTTGGAAATCCAAATGGCTATTAGGAAAGCCAAAACAGCCAAAGAAAGCTTTGTTTCCACAGTTCCTACTTTGTCCCTGATGATTCTCAAAATGTGTAAAGACACAAGTGAGGAACATATACACTAAAGAAGGATTAGAGGAAAGGTTTATTTAATTTTTGTTTTTTTCTGTCAAAATAATAAAATAAACCAAGAACCGGAAGTACTATCAAAAAGACATAGTTGAGGGATTAAGAGATTTAGGGAATGAATATAATAACTATTAGTGTTTTTTCATTTTTAATACTATCCAACTCTATTTATTGCAAATAAAACTTGGAAAGAGCGTTTGTTTGGCCAGGTGTGTGCATGTGTGGGCGTGGAAACACAGGCAAACCAGAACCCTAACATTGGTATCTCTTTCTTTTTTTGGCCAAAAACTCAGTAGTAGAGCCCCAAAGCACTTGTACTGATACCACAACCAAAAGCACACACTATATGTATAGCAAGCAGCATTTTGACTCGAGTAAAAGCAGACAGTATCCTTATAGTTTAAGGCAAATAGGCAAACAGAATGACTTAAATTTAGGTTTTATTGTCTCCAATGCTAAGAAGACGAATGGGATATCTCCAAAAACTAAGGACTCAAAAGAACTGAAGAATTAACACTTGAAATTATTAATTGAACAAAAAAAGAGTTCTCTAACTTGAAATTGACTATTGCTTCTATTGGCATTAACAGTTTTTTTTTAGAGCCTAAAATACCTTCTTTGGGAAGAAGAATTACATTTAATTTAGGTTTTTCAAATGCATATACTCTGATCTAGCCTTCAAAATCTCTCTTCTAAAACTTAGGGAGTAAAATTAGTTTTAAAAATCACATGATCACTAACTCTCTGGGAAGATAGATTTTATATTATTTTCCCTATTGAAATATTTCCGTAACAATCTCAGAGACAGAGACAAAGACTTAGTGGTACACATAAACTAGCAACCCCTTCAGGTATCTATGACCCCAAAATTTAAGAATCCAAGAGAACTTCTTTAGAGCTAGTATTTTTCATCCAGATATTACAGTTACTAAGTGGGTTCTCCCTGGACCCAATTCCAATGCGTGTGTGTTGGGGGTTGTGTTCCACATACAACAGTAATTTTCAGACACTAGCAGGGTGTCAGAGAATTTAATTCAGTTCTGACTATCTACCTAGAGATAGCATCAGATTCCAAAGATAAAGTTTCAGTCCTATAAGACTGCTCCCCAACCCCCACTTCAGACACCAGTCACAAGCCCCTTACCTGTATTTCTGACCAATTGACTACAGATTGCGTTCCAATAACCTCCTTTAGGCCTTGATTAATTTGCTAAGCAGCTAACAGAACTCAGGGAAACACTTATATTTACCAGTTTATTAAAGGATATGATAAAGGGTATGCATCAATAGCCAAATGAAGAGATACACAGGGTAAGGATCCAAACAAAGGAGGTTCTGTCTTGGGGCCCAGCTTGGTGGCATGTGGCAGCATTCTGGTTCTCCAGCTGTGGAAGCTTTCCAGAAAAAGGCTTCATAACATTGCATTACCGTCATGACTATGATTGACTAAGTCATTGGCCATTGGTTGATTCAACCTCCATGCCTTTTTCCTCTCCGGAGGTGGAAGGGTGGGTGAGTGGGACTGAAAGTTCCAACCCTCTAATTCACAGGGTTGGTCTTCCTGGCAACCAGCCATCTCCCCACCCCTCAACCATGGTTGGGGCCCAAAATTCTCCTTGATTAATAACAAAACATCAGTTTCACCTTTATGGCTGTAAAGTGGTTTCAGAAAATGTGGATGAAGACCAAATATATCTGAGAAGTATATTTTGGCCATCTGAATGACCATGTATATATTTCTTAAAAGTCATTATATCTCAGTTTACCTATAGACTAATATAGAGTACTAGAAAATGGGCTCACCAACAAGAAAAATATAATTATTTTTACAATACTTTGCTTAAATTCCCAGAGTCAGGTCATTCATTTTGTGTTTTCAGAGAGTCTTGGTGGTAGGTGTTACAACACCAAACCAAACCACCCATGCCGATTTTCAGTTTACCAGATATATGCTCAAGGTGTTGTGACATGTCCAAATTACATTCAGAAGTCATTAAGGAAGAGAAAATAGATGGTTGCTTTGAAGGCAGCTCTTTATGAGACAAGCAGCTCATCAGTTTGAATTTTCCTGAAGCTGTCAGTGATAATGAACTGAATGATCAGTGTTAAAATGGACTGTTGCTAAGCATTTCCTGTGCAAAAGTCTCATCTTATGAGGGCAAGTTTTGATGATAGCAGGGCTTTTCTTGAACATAGTCTTTTGCTTTTTGGCCTTGGATCCTTGACAATACGGTTAAAGGGTTGTTTTCCTACATTTTAAAATCCTCACACAGATAACTGAGCTTTATGTAATTAAACATTTGAAACTGAAATGTAAGCTTCCTAAAGTATCATGGGGAACTCTCTGACTATAGTTCACACCAGTGTTTTCCAAAATACAACATGGTGGGTCATGATCAGCATTAAAAAAAAAAAAAAGAAATGATCAGACTGCATTGCACAAAATTAAGGGATTGTGTTATATCAGAAATTTTATAACTCAGCTATTTATGTATATGTATTGGGTTGCAGTGAAATGTATTTCTTATTATAGGTCTTGATCTAAAATACTTGACAAACAGTGAGGTATAGATTATATGGACTTATTTGGTAGCAGAATTCTGTGTTTCTAGCCTGTACATGGAATATGTTATTCCCACTTCAGATATTACCAAAACTATTAATCATTTTCACCATTACTTCAAATGTTCAATTGAAATCATCATTTTGAAATTACAATATATTTATTTACAACTGGTGATAATTAGTTATTACATAATGGGGAAAAAACTGTCGTATCACCAGATAATGTCTGTAACTCCTCAGGGAGAGGCTTTTTCAAATTCTATAATCCACCTCACCCCTGCCAGTGGGAAGCAACCTGATGGGCTGTTTCCTGTTTCTCCAGTCTGTTAGGATAGGGAAACAAAAGGGAGACCTAGTATGTTAGGCTGTCACTGAATGGATTTTACAATTATAACTACAGTCATTATAGTTAGCTCTGCTTTCTGAATTTAACCTTTGTAACAGGCAAAACTAGATGGTGGAAGACAGCAGTGGAGACCTGTCCTCATGGCTGTGACAGAGAAGGATTTGCTGCTCTATGACTGTATGCCATGGACAAGGGATGCCTGGGCATCACCGTGTCATAGCTACCCTCTTGTTGCCACAAGGTAAGATTTAAGATAAGATTAAAGACACACAAAACATCTGTCCTACTCTAAAGAGCTTTAAAGTGAATTCTATACATCTCAGGTGCCTGAAGTAGCATTTAAGTAGCTGATGTAGTTGGTTTAAGCACACCCTTCTTTCACATCCTTACTATTTTGCATCTCCTCGCTCAGAATAATTGATTTTTGTGTGCATTTTTTTAAGTTGTTGAAGCAGCTTCCTAACTGCTCCCTTCAAGACTTGCTTAGTCACGAAGGTAAGGTATATAGTGGAGTTTTTTTCTTTATTGACTGTGACTAGAAAACCACTGAAAATCTGGCAGCCTTTTGACTGAGCGATGAAATCATTTAGACCAGAATGCGGTACTGTGGATAAACCACACAACTCAGCCAAAATATTCAACTTTTCTTTCTAGTATAAAAGCATCTAATTTTGATTCTATCAAATAAACATTGATTTGACCTAAAGAAAAGGATGTTTCTAGCATGCCAGATGTGGGGAGTTAAAGGAAAAAAGAATACAGAAATGTAGATTTGGGGGCTTAAGAAATAACTGAAAACTAGTTAACTAGGTAACTAGTATGGAAGTAGAAAACATATTCACATTGTTTTTGTTTTTGTTTTTTATTAAGGTATCATTTGATATACACTCTTATGAAGGTTTCACATGAAAAACATTGTGGTTACTACATTCACCTATATTATTAAGTCCCCCCCATATCCCATTGAAGTCACTGTTCATCAGCATAGTAAGATGTCACAGAGTCACTACTTGTCTTCTCTGTGCTACACTGTCTTCCCCAGGACCCCCCACACACTATGTGTACTAATCATAATACCCTCAATCCCCTTTCCCCTCCCTCCCACCCTCCCCACCCCTCCCCTTTGGTAACCGCTAGTCCCTTCTTGGAGTCTGAGTCTGCTGCTGTTTTGTTCCTTCAGTTTTTGCTTTGTTCTTGTACTCCACAAATGAGGGAAATGATGTGGTACTTGTCTTTCTCCACCTGGCTTATTTCACTGAGTGTAATACCCTCTAGCTCCATCCATGTTGTTGCAAATGGTAGCATTTGTTTTCTTCTTATGGCTGAATAATGTTCCATGTGTATATGTACCACATCTTCTTTATCCATTCATCTACTGATGGGCACTTAGGTTGCTTCCATGTCTCAGCTATTATAAATAGTGCTGCGATAAACATAGGGGTGCATATGTCTCTTTGAATCTGAGATCTTGTTTCTTTGGGCAAATTCCTAGGAGTGGAATTCCTGGGTCAAATGGTATTTTATTTTTAGTGTTTTGAGGAACCTCCATATTGCTTTCCATAGTGCCTGAACTAACTCACATTCTCACCAGCAGTGTAGGAGGGTTCCCCTTTCTCTGTATCCTCGCCAACATTGGTTAAAGGGTTGTTTTCCTACATTTTAAAATCCTCACAGAGATAACTGAGCTTTATGTAATGAAACATTTGAAACTGAAATGTAGGCTTCCCAAAGTATCATGGGGAACTCTTTGACTATAGTTCACACCAGTGTTTTCCAAAATACAACATGGTGAGTCATGATCAGCATTAAAAAAAAAAAAAAGAAATTATCGGACTACATTCCTAGTCTTTTCAGTATTGGCCATCCTAACTCGTGTGAGGTGATATCTCATTGTGGTTTTAATTTTCATTTCCCTGATAATTAGTGATGTGGAGCATCTTTTCATGTGCCTGTTGGCCATCTGAATTTCTTCTTTGGAGAATTGTCTGCACATTCAGTTTTATTTGGATTCAAAAAGAACTAGGTTTTGATGTAACTCAAAACACACACATTTAAAAGGATTCCCACATAAAAGTATTTGGTGGTCAAGAAAGCTAAATCCTGAACAGAGCAAAATATGTTCCACAGGGGACAGTGTGGGAAGGCAGGATTTCCTGCTTTGAGCAAAGATTAATTTAAGGAAGAGTATTCTTTACATTTCATGAAGACTTGTCGCATTACATAGGATTTCCTTCAGCTTGCCAGTTTCCCTTACATGTGTCATTCTTATTTTAAAAATATAATTATCACACAGCTTTTCAGATAGTTTTCTGTAATTTAGAGCTGGAGCACCTAAATCACAGATATAGAGTTTGTAATGAGCCTCAAAATTAGGGATGTATGCCCTCATTAATTCCTTCACGACATAATTGTCCTACAGAAAGACTGAATTTAACCATCAGTTTCTCTGTTTTTTTTTAAATTCCCACTAAATTATAACCACTTTCTTATCAAGAACTATGACTAAGTCATCTTAGCATTTCCAAAAATGCTTTGCATGTAGGTAGGCCCTCAATAAATCTGTTAAGTTAAATTCTATTACTTAAATTATAGTTGATAGTGTCATGGTTACATCAAGAGCATGACAGGAATCCTATGAAAACATGTGGATATGTCTCAGTAGCTATAATTAGAGCAATTAAATTCATATTTCCCAAAGATTTAGACTTTATGAATATGATTGTAGAAATCACGTTTAAATTTTATGGAAAAAGCTTATATTCTAGTTATGATCATAGAATACAAGGAGAATTGCTCTATCTTAGACATTTATCTAACTGTGTGCCACCAAACGGATGAAGCAGAAACTTATGTCATCCCAGAGGTGAGCCTTTATTCAATACTAGAAATTACAGTCCTATAAACAATTTCTGGCCATTGACTAGACTGGGCCTAGACTACCAAAGCACTTTGCTACCAGAGAAGGAAATGAGATGGTTGTACTTGCAATTAGGGAAAAGATTTTGGTAAGATACAAAAGCCAAAACTGTAGGGGGCGGAGCCAGGATGGCGGCGTGAGCAGAGCAGTGGAAGTCTCCTCCCAAAAACACATAGAGCTATGAAAATATAACAAAGAAAAATCTTCCTAAAATAGAGACCACACGACACAGGACAACATCCAGACCACATCCACACCTGCAAGAACCCAGCACCTTGCGAAGGGGGTAAGATACAAGCCCGGGCCCGGCGGGACCCGAGCGCCCCTCCCCCCGGCTCCCGGCGGGTGGAAAGAAACCGGAGCGGTTTTTTTTTGGCGAGTGCTTTTTGGAAGCCTTAAAGGGACAGGGACCCCGGTGCTAGGGAGGCAGGGCGGCGGGACTGGTGAGCGGGTGCCTGGGACC